CCCTATTAACATCTCAAACAGCATCGGATCTACAACTAGAGTTCCCATACTCTACACTCAAGACTACGAAGTATGGGCTCATCACTTTGAAGATTACGTGGTTGGATCTGAAGAGAATGGCTATCTCATCTGGGAAGCTATTGTTCTTGGACCGTTTGTGCACTCAGAAACAAACATGATCGTCAAGACACAGAAAGATTACAACAAGCTGGTGGCAGATGTTCAGAAGATGCCTCAAGATGAGATGAACAAGATTCTGTGTAATGTCAAAGCCATGCGAATGATAAGATTCGCCTTAAAAGCTGACACCTTTCGGCTTGTAGGCTCATGCACAACTTCCAGATCTAAGCTAGATGAACACCTTCATGGATAAAGTCTTTGACTTTATCCATTTTCATGTGTACCAAGGGTACAAACTCACAAATTAAGTCCAAAAGGTCATTTAATAGCTCAAAACACATGCATAGATGAATGAGAGTGACCAAGCTCTCATTTTTATGGCTTAATAACCCTAAAAATGTATGGAAATGACTCTTCAATGGTTAAGAGTAGCTTTTACTCATGAACACCATGGTTATGGGAACAAAAGCATGAAAACCTAAATCTAAAATAAATCTATCATAACAACTCATCAAGGTGGAGACTTTATACCTCCTAGAGATTGATGAGGGAAAGGAACTTCCAGATCCAAAGTTGATTCAAGCTTCTAAGAAACTCCACCACCTTCTTCTTTCTTCAAAAAGCACACAAGAACACTCTTAAGCTTACAAATACACCAAAATGGAATTAGGGTTTCAAAGGGGAAGTTTGGGAAGATGGAGGTTGATGATGGAAACACCTCAAGGAGATTAGAGCCTTTAAATAGGGCTCAAAACCCCAAAATCAAGGTTTTATTTATGGGCTGCTACACATTGCGTAGCTTGATTATGCAGGGTGTAGCTCATTAAGTCCTCACATCATATTTCCCTCATATGCGCTACATACGAGGCTGCATTATGCCATGCGTAATGACCAAAACACCAAAATTACACTTTTAAATAAGGAAAGAAGTTTACCTTAAGGACCAAGTGTTATAGAATCCTTAAGGTTTCAGGTCTAACCAACTTGAAACAAGATTTCACAAAGTCTAGTTTGGGATTCTAGTCATTCTCCCCGTGATTAGATGGAACTCTTCTTAACTTGGTTACAGTTCTAAAAGTTCTTTGATTAGCACAATCCTGGTCCTAATTCCAATGGACTCTATTTCAACTTTTGCTAAGTTGAAGGTTGGATTAGTGATTGCTAAACAACTGCAAAGCGAAATGGCACGTTCCATTCTATGGAAGTTTGAAATTCAAAAATGGCATGTATTTTAAATAGAAAATGCTATCACCAACATTTATCTTTAGCCAATATTTTTTGTTACAATGACGGTGAGCTGGAAAAAGGTTATTAGGCCTATATATATATATATATATATATATATATATATATATATATATATATATATATATATATATATATATATATATATAGAGAGAGAGAGAGAGAGAGAGAGAGTGTGTGTTTTAACGTTTTTTATTTTATTTTTCATTTGTTCAAAAGTTTTCGGTTCTTTTTTTCTTTTATCTTTTAATGTATTTACTTCATATTAGGATTTATTAATGTTTTATTATCATTTTTTTGTTTTTTTTGTTTGATATTTTTATGTTTTTAACTAAATAACAGTTCTACTTTTTTAATATTTAACAATTATTAAATTTTTAAATACAAAAAATATTAACCATCATACTATTTTTTAATCATATTATTTTTTTAATCATAAAATTTGAAACAAATTATTTTTAACCATAATATTTTTGATAATATTATTTTTGATAATATTATTTTTGAATAATACAGTTTTAGGTCAATAATATATCCAATTAAATAAAAATTTTGTTCAAAAATAATTTTTAAAACATTATATATTTGAATTATAAAAGATATAATTAAGAATCATAAAGTATTTGAATCAAAATATTTTTAGATCATAACAAATTAAGGATCATAACCATGTTAATTCATAACCTTTTTTCTGAATCATGAATTTTTAAATTATTGGATCATATTATATTGATTTTAAAAAAAAAACTTGTAATATTTTAAAATAAAGTTAGTAATTAGACAACCTTATTTTTCACAAATTCTTTTCAGAAATTTCATAATATATGATATAATAAACCTTTAAAAGGAATTTTAATTTAGAGATTAAAAACTTTACGTATTATTTTTTAATGAAAAGTTAGAATCATTTAAAGAAAACGATCGTATATTTAAGTATATTTAATACTAACAGTTTTGAATATATTTTTTTTATAAACTCATTAAAATAATATTACGAAGAACTTTATCATTTGTTTTTATTGAATTTAGATAAAAAGAAATCTGTTATATCTTATAAAAAATTAAATATTCCTTAAAAGTAAAATATGAATACTTCAAAAACTTATTTTTGAAAAATTCTTTTTACAAAGTCACTAATATAGTGAGTAGAAATATATCTTAAATTTTTATTATTGTTGAAGATTTTTTTCTAGCTTTTTTTTATATATAATTTCTTTTCAATTTTAATGATTATGCTCATTTTATAGAGGATTAAATTTTAAAAACTTTGTTTTTTTTAGATTTTTTTTCAAAGAAGAAAAAATGTAGAACAAAAAATACTAAATCAATGAAAAAAATAGAGTCTCAACGAATCTTTGGTAGAGAGTGCATTTTTTGGAAACGACACACGAATTAAGTGAAAACCTATTCATAATATTTCAACGAGCACCCAAGGTTCGAGCTCCTTTATAGTCCAGACCTCATAGGTTTTTTTAGGAAAAAATTCTCCATATATGGCACCACAAGATATAGTTCAAGGGAATAAAACTTCCAACCTTACGTCCTACATGAGTATAAAACCTAGTGCATCAACCCAGTTAGGCTGGACATCAAAGTGTATGTTTAGAGCAATTGTCGATTTTACCCTCCAATTGTTCATATTTCTTCCTTTAGGTTTTTCTATATTTACAAAAAAGGCACAAAATTATTAAAAGGTTACATTTATGTCACATTAAATGTCAACCATTCATTTTTAAGAATAAGAGGCTAAGATTCTTCCTCTCAGTCATCACTATTTTTCGAGTCAGTCACCCGAACCAACTTATATATATATATATATATATATATATATATATATATATATATATATATATATATATATAATTCTGCTATGAATTTTATAAATGTTGCCTTATGTCATTATTCAACAATAAATATATGACTAATCATACATTAATAGTCACTCTAGAATTTCTACCAATAAATATACAAATAATCATACGTTAATATTCACATTAGAATTTACGATATACTACACATTAACAAAATTTATAGTAGAATTATAACATAAAAGTAGTGTCTTCACGTCTTATATATATATATATATATATATATATATATATATATATATATTATTCTGCTATGAATTTTATAAATGTTGCCTTATGTCCTTATTCAACAATAAATATATAACTAATCATACATTAATAGTCACTCTAGAATTTTATATATATATATATATATATATATATATATATATATATATATATATATATATATATATATATATATATATATTATTCTGCTATGAATTTTATAAATGTTGCCTTATGTCCTTATTCAACAATAGATATATAACTAATCATACATTAATAGTCACTCTAGAATTTCTACCAATAAATATACAAATAATCATACGTTAATATTCACATTAGAATTTATGAGATACTATACATTAACAAAATTCATATTGGAATTATAACATAAAAGTAGTGTCTTCACGTCTTATATATATATATATATATATATATATATATATATATATATATATATATATATATATATAGAGAGAGAGAGAGAGAGAGATATATATATATATATATAGAGAGAGAGAGAGAGAGACATTTGATCCAAAATGGAGTATTTATTCCTAAATCTAACAACGATCTAAAGAATTTAAAAATGACAAAGTAGATTTCGATACAAAATCATAAAAGTGTGTTATTTACTTTAAAAATCAGTGATAGTCAACATATCGACAGTGAGAAAGAAGAGAAAAAATTTCCAAGGTTTTGGTGCAAATGAAAGAAATATACACTTTGGGGCTGTTTGGTAAACGAGTTTATTAGCTTATTACTGGTTCCATACCGGTATAAGTTAAAAACATGGTTGGATAAATACACCTTATAAAGGTGACAAACCATTAATAAGTTATTTTTTCATAAGTTAGTTCCATCTAACTTATTAACTTATAAGCTAATACGTTATAAACTAGAAATTTCTATATAAATTAACTCCCTCTAAAGTCTAAACTAAAAAGGTCTATATAGGTTAACTCCCTCTAACTTGCTAGTTTATAGGCTAATAGCCTAACAAGTCACAAGTTTTATTTTATTTTATTTTATATTATTATTATTTTTTCTTTGCCAAACACCACCACTATATATTATATATGATTGGTTTCCTAAAAAGGTCTATTTCGGAATTTGTTTCTTTGTCATTTGTGTACTACCAAATTGTGTGGTCAATTGCCTTTTATTTCTTATAATCATGTGGTCATATTGTGATCACCAAAAAAAAAAATCCATGTAATGGTAAATCTAATCCGAATTATGTTTCCATAATAGTGATGCATAACTGCATACTGTTTAACACAATCATTAATTCATTGAAGTTACTTTAATTAGCATTATACAAGACTAAATCTATGAGAATTGTTTAACAAACCATAAAACATATTCCAATTTAAGAAAAAAAATCCTTGGTCCTTTGGTGCATCTATAGGAGATGAGGCCAGTTTGCCCCCTACCCACCATGCATATGCATTTGCATAGTTCAGAGATGATATTTTCAGTAGTGGTTGTTGCAATGTTGCTTCATTTGGCCCCACTCCATTTTCTTTGGATCTTGATAAATTTAAGATTGCGATAAGGACATCATATCAAAGATCTGCATAGATTCATTCTTCACAAGGATAAACCTTAATACTTAATACTTAATACTTAATACTTAAAATACTTTTATGCAAATTTACATATACCTACTGCTCATGGTAGCTTAGATACAAAGATTGACTAATCTAAAACATATCCATAATACAATGGTAAAAATAAATAAAAAATAAGGTAAAACAAGAAACCGTATGTGAAATGACAGACACACCCATCACAGCTACCAAACAAGATCAATCACTGCTGAAAACGATCCAATTTTCAATACTATAAACCCAAAAAATAATGAGAAAAACAGGAGAGAAAAATTCGTATTTGGCATCATTTGAGTCGAGAATTATTTGTAAAGACAGGTTTGTCACCTTACCCTAGCAGCAACATGTGCCCTCATCTTCAAATTTCAAATCAACCCTTTCATTTCTGTGTTTTTGACTTTTTCCCCCTTAATCAGCTCACTTGTTCACCAATTAGGTCAAGTCCCACAAGGAGAAAAGACACTCCCTGAAACAGCAGAAAGTAAAAGTGCACACCATGAGCTGACAACAAGCTCCTCAAAGCTGCAGTCAGCAACAAGAAAGCAAGCGCAAGCTCTTTCTTGTATATCTTGTTTGTTTTCTTCTTTTTAGGTGGAGATTCTTGATGTTCTTTCAGTTTGATTAGCTCTGAGAGACCACTGTCAGAAGCTCCTCGATGTGATTGTTGAAGATTCATGGCGGGAAGAGACTCCCTCTCTGCTGCTGCTAATAAATCTGGCTCAGAGGCTCGACCTGCTTTCTTGGTGACAACCCATTCGTATGAGCTACCTAACTGGAATAATCCAGATACCATGGCGTTGAATTTAGTCACAGACATTGTGTTTTCGAATAGAAGGTAAGGGGCAATAAAGGGAAAAGATTTTGGAGCGGGAAGAATGCTTAAGAATGACATGAACACAGGTACGTAGCAGATAACCCAAGCTGGAAGCTCTGCTTCTGGAACAAACATGGTTAATGGAAGAATAATGCAAAATAATGTGAAAGAATAGAACGGAAGAATAAGCTTCCTCAAGAGAAAAAACAGTAGTATCAGGTTCGCTTTCTTCCAAATTGATATCTGCAGGATTATCGAAACATCTTAATTAAACAATTATAAGAAAATTAAAGGGTTAAAACCTGAAATTGAAACTGATTAATTACCTTGGAAGTAATTATGGATGGAAGACACACACGAAAGAGTTGCATAGGACCAGAGTGCCATCGGTATTGTTGTTTCTTGTAAGCTTCGTATGATTCAGGAACTTCACAGAGGACCTAATTTTGTATATTGAAATAAAAAAACAAATTAAGTTTATTGGAAATTAAATAAAAGGGTTGTTATCTATCTTAAAGAAGTAAGAAGAAAAGTAGATAGGTGAATAATGAATAATGAATGATGAATGATGAATGATGATGACCTTGACATCATTAAGATAGATGAATTTCCAGCCATGGAGATGGGCTCGAACAGCTATGTCCATGTCTTCTACAGTTGTGCGTTCAAGCCAACCTCCTGATTCCTCGAGTGCTTTAATTCTCCAAACTCCAGCTGTTCCATTGAATCCAAAGAAATTAAGAAACACCCCGTTCACTTGCTGTTCCACTTCAAAATGGAAACATAAATTTATGTCTTGTAGTCGTGTTAGTAAATTTTCATCTTTGTTCACAAATCCCCATCTCGCTTGAACTAACCCTAGCTCTGGATTCTCCTGAAACAGATTCAAGAATGTTACCCCAAAATTTTTACAGTAATTCAAGTAGACCCGAAAAGGAATTATTGAGTAAAATACATTGAAATGGGGAACTGTGAGCTTGAGGTAATCCGAGTTTGGTTGAAAATCAGCGTCGAATATGGCGACGAACTCGTAATCTTTGACATAATCACAACTCATGGCAGATTTTAAGTTCCCAGCTTTATAACCAGTTCTGATTAGTCGGTGTCTGTATACGATATTGACACCCTTCTGCATCCACTTCGAGACTTCCCCCTTAATCAACCACTGAATACTCTCGTCGTCAGAATCATCAAGAACTTGAATCAACAGTCGATCTTTAGGCCAATCAAGTTGACACACTGCTGAGATTGATTGTTCGTATACCTATGAAAAAAATAAAAAAAGCAGATGTCAATTGTCATCATTCACGCTTTATAGCTTTTTAATTATTATGTTGAACAATGATAATATGAAATGAAGAAAGTACAGATAGTTAGCGAACTTACCTCTCTCTCATTACACATTGGAATCTGAACAAGAACCATAGGGTAGATGTATTTAGAGGGTTCATTATCGTTGGAATTAAACGGATCTCCGTTAATTCTTGGTTTGATGTTCTTGTATTTGATCCAGAAGCAACCTAGACAAAGTATCATTCTGTCTAGAGATTGAATCAAGAAGAGAACAACACAGAAATTAGAGAAAGAGAGAATGAGAGGAGCAATGTAGTCAGCTCGAAAACCCAACCAAGAAACATAAATCAAATGCAACCAACTCCTTATCTCCAAAGTTTGTGGGATGTGCAGATTATGTTCTTGGAAATACGGCCATCTCATGTAATGAGCAATCACTTCAAAACCTAAGAACGCCATAGCTGTCATTAACAAGCACAGAATAAATCCAAACAAGAACTTTCCTTTTCCAGATTTCCCCTCATTCTCATTCTCACTCTCCATCGCCACTCCATTTCTTAAGAAAAGCCGTTTCTTGATGGCGCCAAGTAATGCCCACAGGATATGACCTAACCAAGCAAGACAACCGACAGCTCGATTTGCTTTCAGAATCAAAACCCATGTGAACTGTTTAGCGTTTTTCACTCTATCCTTGTCTATAGGCCTAAATGCTGAATCAGGTCCATCGATTTCCACTACGGAGTAGTTAACATTCTCCATTGTTACAATCACCGGAGTTCCCTTCCGTGTATCCTTACCCCACCACCGGAAAAACTCCCCTTTTGGTGCCATAACAAGTTAACAACTCAAAAGACTAAAAACGACGAACAGAGAGGTCAAGATGAGCAAGAAATCATCAAAATTCAAAAGTCAAACGAGAAGATGAACAAAGAAAGTTGTTAAACTTGTGAACAGAGCAAAAGAGATCGACTGTTGAAGAGACAAAGGAAACCCATTTTCGAGACTTGCATTTGCAACAAAATTGGCAAAGTGAAAAGATTTGAAGAAGAGAAAGGTTTGAGGGAATTCTTGTTTGTTCACACAAAAGAGTAGCCTACAATCTCAAGTGAAGGAAAAGGAAAAGGAAAAGGAATGCTGCTCTTCTAAAAGCCCTAACCATAAAGCATATTCTAAAAAATAATCCAACCACCCACCTACGACTACGAGTTAAAGAAGAAGACTAAAGAGGCTAATGGCTAAACCCCTCTTCTTTTAGCTTCCAAATGTATTTCAAATTTTCCATGGTGGTAACTGGTAAAGTCTAAAGATTAATGATGGATGGATAATGTAGATTCTCATATTGAAAAAAAAAAAAAAAAAAGCAGAAAAGAACAAGTAAAAAGTGTCACCAGAAGGAATTAAAAACTCAGTGTTAAAGTTTTAATTGTAACCATTTAGACGTTAATGGCAGAAACACCATGTGAGAAAAGAATTTGGAAAGAGAAAGCGAAAGAGAAACCTCAAATGTATTAGAAAAATCAATCGGGGTTTTGGAAGATGCCCTTGAAATGACACACCATTAGCTCACGTATAATGGACCCAAAAGATTAAGATTCTTTTTTAATTTTTTCCTACGTGTTTTTTTCAATATTTCACTATAAAATTAAAACAATTCCTTTACAATAACTCTATGTTAATGTTAATAATACCAAATTTGGTTCCCTTGGTTAAAATGTAAGGACAACTTTTTGTATTTTTCTATTCTCTATTTTGTAGGATAGTTCATATACTTAAAAGTTTTGAAAAAAATGAGCAGGTATTAAAATCATAATGAAAACAAAAGTAGTGAATATATTCATAATTTAATATATAAAAAGACAATTTTTGTAATAAGGGTTGTTTGATATGTTTAGTATTAAGTTTGGTAAAAGGTTGGATTCGATCAAATTCATTTAAAAACTTCTAACTTTGTTGTGATTATTCTGAAATGTTTTTTACTCGGGGAGATTCATGATTTAATCTTACTCATTCTCAATTAGTAATTAATAATCCCTAAAAAATACATAACATTTTGCACCATAAATGTCTCAATTATTGGACTACATTTCTAATAAAAACCAAGGTATAGTATAGACGATATTGATTAGTTTCACTATATAAAAATGAAAAAACTTGTAATTGAAGTCAAAATAAAAACATAACACTTTACATCATTAATTGTCTCAATTATTTGTAGGTAGCGTTTAAAGAACTATGGTTCGATGGCAAAAGAAATACATTAAATAGGAATAGGTGGTGCTGTTAAAACTGATAATTGTCGAATATCATGCAATATGCTTTGTTTGGCAACATTTAATTTAGAGTACATTTGAGTAGTTATTCATTTATCATTAATTAATGTTACAAAAAAACAGTTGAAACCATGGTAAACATCAAACTTATTCATATTAAATACATCTGAAATAAGTCATGTTGTTTTCAGAAAATACGAAAGAAAAGCAAATAGCGGTATATATATAAAAGACTTGATGTATTATAGGTATCTATTTATATAAAATTATTAAAGAATGGAGTTTTTATTTTTAAATATAATTAGATATAAGAGAAAAAGCATATTCCTTGCGGGTGTTGACTGCAACGCGACCTGACAATGCCAACCATAGTGAATGATGCTTTGCTTTGATTTCGATCTTTCCTCTTCTTGTTTTTGTTTCTTTCTTTCTTAACAAAAAAAAATGGCATTTAATTTATATTTATACAAACACACGTAAGACGATGGCTATAGAATCCGTTTCTTCATGAATTTGTTTTGTCTTAATATAAGAGTTTCTAATTTTAAACTTTTAGGTAATTAGAAGTTATCAAAATTTTAGATATCAAAATAGAGTTATTCTAAAAATATATTAATTTCTTATATCCGCTAGATAAGTTTCGTTTTCTTGAATTAACAAAATAACCACACAATCTGCATAAACAATAGACAAAATGTTTCACATACAAAAGTTTATCATTATCATATTGTCTCTTTCATTGTGAAAAACGAACGAAGATCATACTTTTTGCGCATGTGGATCATTGAATGAAAAACATGATTCTATTGCAAGTAAGTAATCAACAATTCACCGTTTTTAGTACATTTAATAATTCATCAAAATTTTAGATATCGAAATAGAGTTATTCTGAAAATATAATATTTTTTTATATTCAGTAGGTAACTTTCGTTTTCGTAAATTAACAAAATAGCTGTAAGATCTGCATTAACAACTCACGTCTAGTAAGTGCAAGTTAAAATGTTTCACATACAAAAGTTCATCATTATCATATATTGTCTCTTTCATTTTGAAAAATGAACGAAAATCATTCTTTTTGCACACACGTGGATCATCGAATGGAAAAAAATGATTCTATTGCAAGTAAGTAATCAACAATTCTCCAATTTTAATACATTTAACAACTATAAATGTTTCAGCAAGATTAGTTTTTAGCATTTGACTATTTGAGGTTATTTTATTTCTTATTTAGTTTCATAAACATATAATATTGTTTCCTATACTAGAATAGAACTAGTGTTTAGTGAATCATCATCAATGTGAATAAGGAACACATCCTTAGTGTAAGACAACTAGGGTGTTTACGGAGCAGTTCGGATCAGATAGTAACAAAATTGTGAACCGTGATAGCGGGGCGGGTACCTTACTAGCACTAACCGTAACCGAACCGAATTGCTAAAAAAACCAAACCGAACTGAACCGGATAAAGGCGGATAATTACGATTCGGTTCCCGGGTATCCGTTAAATATAAAAAATAGAAATCAATCAAAACTACAAATTCCATTTCAACAAAAAAATTTCTCAAAATAAAAAACTAACAAAAATCAGAAAAATAAACAATGCTTGCTAATATATACATACATTTTTATTTATGCATGAAAAATGTATTATATTTAAACTACAATAATACTCTATTTAAGATACAATCAAATTAGATTTTAGATACGGTTTAATGATCGAGAAACTGCTTCAATTCAAATGAATCAATTTGGGTATTATCGATGTAAATATAAACATAACATATATATATATATATATATATATATATATATATATATATATATATATATATATATATATATATATATATATATATATATATATATATATATATGACGGTTTGGTTCGGGTATCCGCGGATATCTAAATATCCAAACCAAAACCAACCCGTATGTACCCGATTTTTTCGGTTTCGGGTTGGCTGAATCGGCTTGGTTTTTTGGTTTTCTGATTTTTTTGCACACCCCTAAAGACAACAGAACTATTACCATACTCTTTTAACCATCAAGGCGCAAGATGCACTTGGAATGGAACTAGTGTTTAGCTATATTCTTAAAATGTCATTTGAATTAGGGTCCAAACTCTCTTGACCATCAAGGGGGCAAGGTGCACTTTATGGACAAGATAAGGGAGATGTTGTCTCTTTCTCCCACCCATACAACCTTATTTAGGAGTTCATATATTGGCCGTGGTTAGACATTTAAAATATGTTTTGGGACCTATTACATCCATGCAATGACCATTTCAATGATACATCATGACCATGACAATGGTGCATTGTGGTTTCAAGTTGGATGATGTGAATTGCATTTTTGTGACATCCCCAAATTCACGGTAATTTTAAAAATTTTATTTATACTTATTTGAAAATCAGAGTATTCATTTTAAAAGAACAATATTGCGGAATTTGTTCCTAAAAAAACATGATAAATATGTTATCAAAGCATTTCCGAAGAAATGTATTTTGTTTATATTAAAACTTTAGGATGTCATCATCAATATAGAAACATAAGCATAAATAGACCTTACATTCATTTACACTAGTGATTTACATCTCCTTAATTTGTCAGTGTAATGTAGCTTCGTATCGATACATATGATAGATATAAACTGAGTGGGTCATGTTGGGAAATCAGGTGAGTATATAGGGTTTTCAACCCAAAATAATATAATTATTATGTTTAATCGTTAAACAATTAACCCAACATCACATCCCCATTATCTTCTTTATTCTTAAGGATCTACCCTATGAATCATTTATTCATCATTCATTCATTCCTAAGGATCGTCTAAGGAATAGGCATGAAGTTCATCGCTGCCAGGGTTCATCCAACATGCACTAAGTCCATAGCGGCCGATGTTATCTGTTAGGAACTAAGTCCATAGTTGTCAATATCCATTGATAGGGCACTAAATCCATAGCTACCAACGTTCATTTGTAAGGCACTAAGTCCATAGTTGCCAATGTTCATTTGTAAGGCACTAAGTTCATAGCTGTCGGGGTTTGTCTATTTTGGCACTAAGTCCATAGCTTCCAGGGTTTATCTATCAGGCACTAAGTTCATAGTTGCCAATATTCATCTATTTCATCTTTCATCTCTCATCATTCATCTACCCATCTTTACCCAATACTTTTATAGGTATAAAATACATATACAGTAAATCAAATAAAACATGTATATTTTTTTCATTCAACATAGATATCAAGAACACAGATAATATGCACACGTAACACATAATTTATATTAAATACTTCATATATCTGTGTAAGATGAAAGTAACTATGCACTCACTTGTTAAAGTGATGATTCTAAACTCGGGCAACGCTTTGCTTCTAACGATTCTATTTTCCTTCGATGAAACCTAGTATCATTACCACTAGATTTTAGTCTGATATTTGTTCCGACTATTTACGAGTGATATTGTTTTATAAGTGTTAAACAATACTTTTCAACCACTATGTACAGACAGGGGCCATACATGAAACACCAGAGGGCAGGACCATTTTGGCATCATAGCACTTCTAAAATCCAACAACCCTATACGACCCTTCAAACTAGATTTCATGTACCGCGAGTAGTTAAAAGATAACACTTTGTATATTATATTTTATATTATATTTATTTCTTATAAGTTTATAATAACGATATTAAACTTAAACATAATCTATACTTAAGGTAGGGTAAGCATTACTCATTTACTAGGAGGTTTGGCTAAGAACCGAGCTCTCCAGGGAAAGAACTTTCCAGCCAAAAGCTCTTCTTTATGGATCCTTCTGGCGCTCGGGAGCTTTCTTCTAGCAGTTAGAAGTTACTAGGGCTTTAGGAGAGGTTTAGAAAGAGAGAGAAGGTTTGAGGTGTGAGGAAAATTAGTGAGCCTCGCATGGTATTTATAGACTGAAAAATGGATCAACTTGGCGAGTTCTAAGCCTCAACTCGTCGAGTTGGTGTGCCACATGTCTCCATCTGGTGGCAATGCGTGCGGAGAAAGCAAGGGCTCAAATCGTGCCACGTCACCCCTTCGCAGCAGGACCCTTACGACTTC